AAGTGGGGGAGCTCAAGACATCGCTGCAGTGACTTTCATTCATGTCACAGGAGTATTCAAAATGCATTCCTCCTAAAGCTCTAGGCAGTGAAATGTTGTTGTGACAATAGAAGTGCCCACAGCAAAGGTCTGCTTGAGAACGAGTTCAGTAGCAGCAAGTTCTCACACAGAAGAGGGATTTCTCTATCAGTCTGTCCTAAACAGATCAAGTGTAAGCTCTATCCAACCACAGGTGCAGGACAAAAAACTGCCTGTTTTTCTAGACTTGATTCTTAAAAAATAAAAATAAATCTGTTTCTTCAAACTGCTCTGTTCTGATACAGCATCAGAAAGCTCCATATTAGGTCTCTCAAGAGTAGCATCTTTTACCAATCAAGTAATGTAGCTTAGTTTGTACTCACAGATCCTATTTTTCCTCTTATTTTATAGAGAGATTCTCTTCCCCTCCAGAATGACTATAATTATTCTATAAAAATACAGAGCATATGGAACACTTTCCTCCAAGCAATGGAACAGAGTGCCATAAAAGCAATGAACATCAGTAGTTTATTAGACGTGGTTTCCCTTCCCCATCATCTACTCAGAGCTGCTGTGAAATTCTATCGAAGTCATACTGTGCAGGGGTACAAAACAGCTATGAAAGGATTTGCCTGCATTACATAGGGTTTACTGTTAATTAGCTCTTGTACACACACGCAGTACATAAAACCAGCTTTTTTGTTTAGGAAGTGATGATTTGTTGAGAGGACGTCCTTTGTTGATCTAAAGCTAGCAGTAGGATTGTAATTTGAGTTAACATCTACACATCATTTTATGTAACCACTTGACAATGGTGGTCCTGGCTAATTAGTTTCTGTTAGTTAAAAGGGAAACGCAAATGAAATTTTCTTTGGGTATAAATAGAGACATCAGCTTACTCAGACCAATAACATCAATGTGCTATTTCTTTCCTATCATATCCACCACATGCTTCTGATCACAACTTCAGATTTGCAATCTCTTACGCACCGGAAAACAGAAACTTCGCTCCTCCTTTAATGATCTCTCCTCTCTTAGTATTAAGTTGAATGATTCACAGGAAGGATGAACACATTTAAAATTCATACTTTAAGCAAAAACTTTGTTCACAGCCTAGCTTCAATAGCTGAGTTAGCAAAACTTTTCTGGTGGACTTGGGAGCAGGGGAGCGTGGAAGAACCAGCCTTACGTGACTGCCTAGAGTAATTTTCTTAATGGACAGAGAGTATTATTTTTACAGTTTTTCAATCTTCCTTTTAGGCAATGGTTATCCAAATCTTTGAAGCAGGCATACTCCTCTTTTCGCTCTTTGTTCCAGAGCTAACCAGTACGCTATTCCACTCAAAGAAACCACCAACTACAATTGTTTGAAGGAATTGAAAGGAGGAGTGTCACTCTAGTAAGGGGTGGGAAAGGAGGCCAGCTAACTCCTTTGGGCATCCTGGGAAATTCCAGCCTCCATCTGCTTTCCATCTTTGCTTTGGTGATTTCTAGGAAAGGTTGATATAGAAGGGGAAACCCAAACTGAAGCCTTACAGTAATAATCTAGTACCTACTCCCCCCACCCCCAAAAGGCAGACAAAAACAGGAAGAGCTACGAGCAGCTGAGAAAAGCCGGGGGGCAAGGCTCTTGTCTCCTCTCTGTTCCCTGGTCTGAGATTCTCAGCACTGCAGGGAAGGAAGGAAGAAGACAGAAAGGAAGACAAAGAAGCAGTGATGTTAGTTACACCACCAGCTAAGGACTCCACCTTGCATGAGGAATTCTCTGCTGGCAAGGCCTGTCCCATTCCTTCGGGCCTCTGTGTCATCTGAGCAGCCCAAAGAGGTCAGCCAGAAAATCTGCTCAGCAAAACTGACTCAGTGAATCACATGAATTACAATCAGACAACATTGTGATAGGGATGCTCTGAGTTAAACATGGTATAAATACAGACAGCATACATCACAAATGTGAGGAAATGCTTTCCCTGCTGTATGATTCCAAGTACAGTATATCAAGAGCTATAATGACAATAACCGGAATTTGCAACTAACCACAAGCAGAAGAGGCACTCATTTCTCCGTGACTTCTAACTCCTTTAGAGTTTGAACTTTTCCTGGCAGTTAAGAACACAGTGAAAGCCTTTGTGAGGATAAATTGAACGCATCGAAAATAAATGTGGGTCCTCACATGGGGAAAAAAAAAAAGGCACATGAGATCCAGCAAGTAACCTACCAGTCATTTGAAAAATCTATCAAGTAGTCTAGAGGAAAAGGGCTAAAATAGCCCTTATACATGGCACTGAGCTGGAAACGGGAAGAGAAAAGGGTTTCTTGCGTACTTTTGGACAGAACTCTATTGAAGCGAAAGGTTTTAAAAAACCCAAACACCTATGCAGAAAGTCATGCAATGCATGTAAGGATTTTTTTCCACAGAATATAAGGGACCAAACATAAGCAGAAAGCCTGAAGTTTCACTAGTCATTTGGAAAACAAGCCATGTGAAGCACGTCTGATTCATCTTTATTAAACACGACAGTAAGAATTCCTTTGCTATTCTACCAGACTCTTACAAAAGCCCTCAAGTCAATGGATCATGGCAAAACCAATTTGCAACTGGAAAGAAAAGCAACACTGGTATGAAAATGGAAATAGGTGAAGATGAGAAATATCTCGTCGTTTGTGGTTAGAGTCCTGTTCTCACTTTCAGCTGCCTGAACAGCAGGCCCTTAAACTCACTGCTAATTCACATCAATGGAAGAAATTTGAGTCAATGGATAAGGGTAAAACTGATTATTAATTATTTTAAGGTCTATAAGTCTGGGGAAGGCACGCAATTGTTAAAGGGACATGAAGAAGGTTCTAAAGTGAAACACATCCATTTTTGATTTACACCCCTACCATAATAAAAAGTATCACTTTTGCCAGTGCAGTTTTGCCCATTTTTAGCCCCCCAAAAATGAACCATTTTCACAAAAAAAAAAAAAAAAGAGAAAGCACAATTTCACTAATCTAATAAAAGTATGAAATTTCCTTCTTTGGCTTGAAAGTGAAAGAATATATACATACTGACATTTAAACACAATGCAGTAGTTTTCCTAGAATAAATTCAGCAAAGTTGAAAAAAAAAAAATCCATCAGACCTAAAGGAAACATTTGAGGGTCTTCCCCCTCAGACTGAATGGAGCAGGAAATTATTCACTTAAGCAGAGTAAAACAATTGCTTTAATTTCCGCTTTCCTTGATAATTTGCTTTACCACCTTGACAGTAGATTCAAGGAGACAAAACCTACGATTTACACAACATAAAAGACAAAATAAGCATTGCCATCACATGGCTTAAGTCTGGGACCTTACTAGACAACACTTTCTTTAGTGTTGTGTCATCACATTTGAGGCTCCACTCCTTTAATTCCACCTTTAAATACAGGGCCCAATCTAACATCCACTGCGATTAACAGGAGTCTTTCCATCAAATTCAGTGGGTATTTGACAGTACCTCCAGAGACTTTACTAGTACCTGAACATTTTCAATGCAAAGGTAAGGTTTTTTGGAGTTATACCGCTGGAATTAAACAGTGAACAAGGTCTGACTGGCTTTTGGACTAATAGAGGAAGCTAGAGCGAGCAGCCTGTAACACTGTAAGAGAGTTACACTACAGTCAAGAAGTCGTCTTCCTAGTATAAAGCTCTTCATGTTCCCTCAAAAACTGTTTAAAAATCCAATTGATGAATGCACGTTATTTTAAAATCGGTTACTAAAGCAAAGAACTTCAGCATTGCCTTCATTCTCTGCAGTTTGGTAAGCCCCTTAAACTTATGCAAATAATAATACATTTTCTATATTTGTGCTTTGAGTAAAGTTGACAAAATGGAGACCTTTAAAACTGATTGCTTGTTTTGGGCAACTCAGTTTGGATGAGTACATCTGAAAATGAGTCCCCCACAGAAGTATCTCAAACTGGATACTCCAGCTCAGAAAGATTAAAAAAAAAAAAAAATTAAATTGAAATATTGAAAAACTCAGTCTTCTTCCGTTGCTTATTCATTGGTCCATGAATTAAGTCAAAACTGATATTGATTTAATTAAACAAGTATACTATTTGATAGCGTTTACAGAGTACTGTTTTTCAAGTCTAAACATGTTCTCCCTCAACAGCTACAAATAGTAACATTCACATTAGGTACACAACTAGGAAGGAAAGGCAACCTTAAAATCTTTTTTTAAAGACAAGAAAAAAACCCAAAGTAAAATCCTTAATGAGGTGAAGTTGATTGAAATGATATATTTTTCATCCAGTCTTAGCTCCTGACAGTAATTCCAAAGCCTGGAAGTCATACTAACCAGTTTGGATTTAAAAATAAACAAACTCAACGGCAACAAAGTGCTTTCATGAAAAAGAATGCAGAGTATCACCGGAATGTTTTGGGAGTCTTCCTGCATTAATTTGTTTTGATCATCATTACTGAAAAATAAAATTGCTGCAAGGTTACGATTTTTTTTTTTTTTTAAGAACAGAAAATGAAAAAAAAATCAAATAGTGCTATGTCAATTAAGGAAGAAATTCAGTTTTGCTGAAACTTTTTTCCACATGGAAGAAAAAGCTTCATTTGCTTTTAACCTCTGTCTTAAACAAAAAAAACAACAAATGGGGAAAAAAGTAAATTCCAATTAAACCAGAGTTTTCACCTTGTTTACTTCTAGTAAAATTTCATCAAGAAACACGTATATTTGCAGAAAATTTCAAAATTGAGCCCTTATTGATTTAACCTAGAAATAAATAAAAAAAAAAAAGGCATCTTCTAATCAGCCTAAACAAGTAACATATTTAATTGGCTTTCAAATCGAAAAGTAGATTTGGATGCTCAGAGGCGTATCTTACTTAAGGACAAATTATATTCTCCCCATAGTTTGTGTTTCTGAACAAACTGGATAGTATAACATTCCTATGGCAACCAGGGAAGGAACTTGTCTACAAAAATGGAAAAGTGGTGGATGTTACCTAGCATGTTGTGGTAAAGTGGACTGTCGTGTCCATGGATAGTAAATGCAGTCATGACTAGCGGGACCTCTACACCTGCAGGCAATTACAGAACAAAAGACGTCATTTGCCATTCACAAGGACATGCACACGCATGCGCCCTTGTCCACACGTGGAGGATGGAAGACACACAGGGAACGATCACTCGGCAAGTACCTATCCATCAGGCCAATGCAGTCCTCAATACGTGGTCCTATGCACCTGCAGCAAATCCAAATTGAAAATAGGGAGGGAAAGAGAGAAATCCGTTATTTACAGATCCAAGAAGCAGGAATCCCCTCTTTGTGCCACATTCTTAATTATAATTCTCAAGAGAGACCCAAGTCACCACAAAATTATAGCTTGTGACAAAAACAAGCTTGCAACGGGAACAATAATACCAACATAAACAGCACTCCAAGGTTGGACATATCTTGGCTCAAGCAACACTTAAGGCAGGTTTCACCTGCATACGTGGGAGTCCTGACAATAGAGTTGCTTTTTCTGGATGTTGTCTGAATCATCAAACCAGTGATTACTGCACAAAAGCTGTTCATTTGCAAGAAAAGACCTCCAGGAGCACAATGCAAAACTTTTCTTTCTTTCTGTAATTGATGCAATTGTTCATTCTGTTCTAAGTTCCTAGCTAGGGCAACTGCAGAAGTATTTTGGAAGCTGACTATACTTTTACCAGGGAAACTCAAGGATGAGCTTCCAACAACAAAAAACAGAGCAAAACATTGTCTGCCGATTCAGGCATTCTCTTCCGCTTTCCTTAGATGCTGCCATTAGTCCTCCACCTGCAAAATCAGCAGGTGCTCATCAAAGGCAATGGAAATGCAGGGAATCACTTTATGCAGCAGCACTAAAGCACAACCATGGGGAAAGAGTCTGTTTGTAAAACATGGATATGCGTGGATTTTCCTTGCCCTCATGAAGAGCAGTAGGTGAAGTGGTGTCCTAGGTCCTCTGCATTCAAATAGCAAGTCAATTACAGATTTACACAGCAGTCAGGATTCTCAGAGACAGATACCTAAAGTTAAGCTTTTAGGGGTTAAGACAACCTGACACCCTTTAGTGCTGAATGCCCAGCTAGTCCCTCTGTAGCCGTGGGGAGTATCTAGCTCTCAGCATTTTAAGGAAACCAAACCACTTATTTCAACTCTTTAACAAGATCTCAGAACCATTTTATTAACAGGCTCTTTGGCTGTACGTCTACTACAGGAGCAGGTGATCTGACGTATCGGTAGACTGAAACTCACTTCTGTTGAGGCATTTTCAAATTAAGGTATGATCCCCAACTCTTTTTAAAATCTCCTGCTTTCAGTTTGGCTTTGATAGAGGGATATGCATGTAAAAAAATCTGAAAGAGTTCAAATATGCTCCCATGAGATGATCTTTCCGCTTCACCATCACTTGCCACTCATCAGCTTTTGCTGCATTTAAATCAGCTATCACTCTGCCATTATAAAATTAATTCAGTGAATTCTATTTCCCCTTACCTGCCCATCAGGGAGAGCAGAATGATAGTGAACCTTACCTCTTGTTTGTTTACTTGAATTTTTATTTTTACATAAAAATTGTGACATGCAAACACAAATTGTAAGCATTTCCTCAATAACAGTTTCCTTCAGCAAATGTGCAGACATAAAAAGGATTCATTAAATACCCAGGTGGCCAGATAATGCATAAACGGAAAGGGTAGATTTACATGCAGTTCAAAAACTTGAGAGAACTCTTGATGGGTGTTTTTTGAAATTTCAGCTGTCCTGGGCTTTAGGACTTCAGAATTCAGGACTGTCTGAATTCTAACCAGTCTCAAACATATCTAACATTTCTTCCTTTCATGGCGTTCTCAGCAATTTACAGAAAACCAGTTCAGTAATGAAGGAGACTGAAAAAAAGTTGTTCAGAACTTCCATTTCCCTAGCATGTCAAGAGAAGCTGAGCTCAGACTCTTGCTATAAAAAAAAAAAAAAAGGCGTCCCTCTTCAAATTAGAAGCCTGAGAGCCCATTACTAGTTCAGATAACTGGCAGACTAACATAAAGAGCCTATTGTCTTGGAGTCATTTCACATCTGTACATTTATTCTCTCAGACTTCTGGAGAATAGGACTTGAATCCAAGAAGAGAGAGCTGTTTGGACCTCACCCACTCCAAGTTGAAATACCATTGATTTTTATTTAAACCTGTAATCTTCAGTGGATTTCCCAGCCCCAAACGGAAAACTCTGTCCAGGTGCAATTTCCATTACTCCTAGTCATGTTGAACAGTTTCCTACTCTCTGACTGGCTGTCCTGATTACATGCAGCAAAGTACAATAATGTGTAAGTAATGGCAATATCTATTAACAAGTTATTTTGCACCACCAAGTCATCAGTTATTTTTCCTCTGGAAGTAACTCCCTTGGTTTCAGGACTTTTTGACACAAATAAGTACAAGCATGACACAATCATACATCACATTGGTACTCCATTCACCCTCAGGGCTCCTTCTTCTGCTTGGAGTCTGGATGATATTTTCATTTCCAATTTCGCTCTGTAAAATGAACTGGTTAACTGATACATGCCAATTTATTAATGATATATTCAGTACCTTACAACAGTCCAATACAGCTTATACAGAAAACTACACTTGGAGCTTATCCTAGCTTTACAGATAATCATCCTCTGAAAGAAAATGATGAGTTAAAACAGTTTTGAAAATTGGAGTAACAACTGTTTTTTCCTGAAACAATCCTTTTCCCCCTCTGTCACAAATACTGTCTTCCATCAGTTTTCCTAAAGATTGAAAGGTGGGGTCTTAACTGTTCACAGATGTGGAGTAGCGAAGCCGTTTCTAGTCAGGTGAATTCTCAAAAATCTTTGTCATTGGAAACAAACAAAACTGATATACAATGTCATAAATGGATGAACTCTGGACAAGAGAAAACCTTAGTTGTGGCGATGACCTGGTCATCCAACCACTGCTATGGATAAAGCCAGACAACTCAAAAACAGGGGGTTACTTAGCTGACAGGAAGTGCATACTGATGGTGATAGTAAGACAGTTGAACTGGGGCAGGGGGTAGGAGGAAATTCTGCATCAACAAAATAGTAAGTTTCTTATTCAGTTTGTTGCCATTGAATTTGCACTATTATTTCAACTGAAATTCATAATGCCTTCCTAAAAAGGCATTAGGGAAGTGATTGTGCCCCTGTACTCGGCACTGGTGAGGCCACACCTCGAATACTGTGTTCAGTTTTGGGCCCCTCACTACAAGAAGGACATCGAGGTCCTGGAGCGTGTGCAGAGAAGGGCAACGAGGCTGGTGAGGGGTCTGGAGAACAAGTCTTATGAGGAGCGGCTGAGGGAACTGGGGTTGTTTAGCCTGGAGAAAAGGAGGCTGAGGGGAGACCTCATCGCTCTCTACAACTCCCTGAAAGGAGGTTGTAGCGAGGTGGGTGTCAGTCTCTTCTCCCAAGTAACTCGCGATAGGACGAGAGGAAATGGCCTCAAGTTGCGCCAGGGGAGGTTTAGATTGGATGTGAGGAAAAATTTCTTTACTGAAAGAGTGGTTAAACATTGGAACAGGCTGCCCAGGGAAGTGGTTGAGTCCCCATCCCTGGAAGTATTTAAAAGACATGTAGATGAGGCGCTTAGGGAGATGGTTTAGTGGGCATGGTGGTGTTGGGTCGACGGTTGGACTCAATGATCTTAGAGGTCTTTTCCAACCTTAATGATTCTATGATTCTATGAAAATACACCTAAGTTTTAGGGGCAAGACAGTCCTTCTGCCTTCAAATCCCTTCTGGACTACACATGTGTTGATAAGGCTTCCATGACTTCTCTGGTCTTGGCTTAGAAGGAAAATAAACTTTTGGTGAAGAGTAGTACACTTCCTTCAAAAAGTTGTGTGAGAAAATGCCTTTCTGTGATGAGGGGAGGTGTCCAGTGAGATCTCCCATTTGTGTCTTGCCCTGCGAGGAAGCAGACTGTCAAATGCTATTATATAACTAATATTTTACTTCTGTGAAAGTGTTCCATTTTGGCTAGCTCTGAAGGAAGAGGTGCCAAATGCTTTCCGACTCTCTTGAATTAAATGGGATAGCTGTCCCATGTGCCTCATATCTGCTCCAAACTGGCTTCAAGTAGCTCATGTTTATCATGGGGATGCAAGGCCAAGAGCACAGTTGTTGCATCCAAGGAAGTCACTCCTCGGTAGTTCTTTTAGTCAATGTAAGATCATTAAGAGGGCTGGATAATTACACACCTATTAACAGAAGCAGTCATTATACTTGAATAAGGGAGGAGAATGGCGTTATCAAATCTCATGCTCTAGGGTGTAAAACAATCATGGCAAGTGCCATGACAAAACTGTGGCAAAACGCTCACAGGAAACACAGAGGTGGGACAGAGACCTTCTTTGGTGACAGCAACAGGTGGGGATGACTAGAAACAACGTATGAGAGCTAACAATTCATTTTAGCAAGCACCCTGATTCAAAGAGAACTGCACTGCAGGAATGAGATAATACCACACTGGGAGCACTGCTCTGCAGCAGCTCAAAACTTTTTGATGAGTATCCAAGCTGTACTGCGAGGGCATCAGTTTTATTCCAGCAATTGATCTGACAGAGAGGAGAACAGACATGCTAGATGAAGTGGAATTACTGTTTCTCTGTACCATTCAGTCGTGAGACAAATATTAAGATGTGTTCCCTCCACAATCTATTTCACTGAAGAATCCTGATTGAGGGGAATTTAAATATTAATTTCTAAAGGAAGGGTAGGAAACTAGAGAATTCAGTATTGAAGTAGAAAAGGAGAGAGAAACTGATTTCCCTTCTCTCTGTGGGCACATTCAGCCCTTGACAATGTTGGCAAGAAGATGGACAACCCATAAACCTCAAACATCGAGGCAGTCGTTAACAGTTTCATTAACATAATCACATGCCAGAAAGGAACACTAGAAAAGAATACCCATGCTTACCCAGATTTGGGGGGTGGTGGGCTGTTGTTTTCATGAAGGGTAACAAAATACCTAAGAATAGACACATTAACTGTTTAATAAGAGGATGAGGATTTCTATGAGGAATAATATTTGACTCATGGCAAAGGGATAGCTCCTCATCTGGGAGGTAACCACACCTTTGCATACGTAACCCGGGTGAGACCTTTGGCCCTTTTACTAGTGGTATTTTGTCATTTCTCTGGGGATTGGCACACGATGCTAAATAAGACATTCTTTCACCTAATCAGCTGCAGAAAATAAAAAGAAGGGAAACCTGAAAGTTCAAGGATTAAATGACAACATAACTCAGAATAAAGGAACCCTGTGTCACCAAGGGTTGCCAATCAATACTGGCAAGTTCAGTTACAACTGCCTGATGCTCTTCCTATTTGTTTATGAACTAGAATGTCAGATTTTCATCACAAGGTATAAAAGCCTCCCTTCTTTATCCCGTTCTATCCAGGGAGAATAAAACAACCACCCACTTGCAAAATACTGACACATATGAAGTGGAAAGGCATGGAAAACATTCTGTTCCCTTCCTGGTCTAGGAGAAAGACAGTTATGCCACGAAGATTAGTAATAGTTAGATCATTTAGACCTCCTCAGAAAAGAGGAGGGAATGGGAAGAAATGTCACATCCTGGTCTTCTGAGAGGCCAACAGATCTGCAAGGCACTTCTTATGCAGGGCAGACAGTAAATCTATCATCCATAGCTGGGCTTGTCGGATTCGATCAGAATTGGCACTTCCACCATCTATTAAAGCCAGGACCAGAGCTCCTGCAGTGAGCTCATCTTTTCATATTGTTTCTTCTTACACTCTTCTTCCACAGTGGCAGCATTTTTCTTATTGCGTAACTGATTTAAAGGGTCTGAGGGGAAGACAAATCTGTAACAGATCCTGGCTGTGTCTTTGCGATCTCACTTTCATTTCCCTAATGGCTCTATTGTAATTAGATTTGCAAAACCAGCAAAAGGTCTCATTTTGAATGGCAACAGCTGTTGACATCAAGATTACATTGAATAATTTACTGGTTTAATTTTAGCTGCTAAACAATAAAAGCCTCTTGTCGAAGATTATTTCACCGGCTGGAATGTTCTCTTTTTTCCCCTGGCTGCCTCTCCGTTTCTTTGTATGCTGGACACCAACCGTCTCATCAGAAGACATTTATAACTTACGTGGCCCACGCAAAACAACAGTTGTGTATGCAGCTACTATTATTTTGTTGCAAAGATTCTTAATTCTGGCTTAGATACATTGGCTGTATATTTCCAAATGTAACAAGTGATTTTGGGCACTTAGACACGACTTGAGAAATTTATGCTCCGACTCCTGTACAGAGTCTGATTTCAGACAAACCTTTTGCATCAGTTCCCATATGAAAAAGGGGGCAGTAACACTTTCGTCTCATGGTAGCACTGCCGGGTTAGTTCGTCAATACCAAGGAGCAGACATGAAATTTCTGTCAACAAGTAAATACTAAAAATAAACTCATTGTACAGGCCTACACTTACATAAGTGTTAATGGCAGCATTTGCTACAAACCAGTGCTAGCTAGCAGGAAAGCTAAGAGCACTGCTGTGAAAAGTTGTTCTCTATGGCTTTCAAAAGGGGTGTAAGCTTTTTCACTGATAAGCTGCTGGACGTTCATGACTGGAACCTGAATGTCACGAGAGACCTGGAAATCAAAGGTTACATTACTGCTGCACACACTCTGTTTTCAGGAGCGGGACAAGTGCTTTACCAAGCCAAACTGTATCTAAATCATGACGCACTACAAGCAGCAAATAGTATGGCTCACTTCACAGAATTTGCACTTACCCTTGGGTGCAGTTTGGATGACATGGATGGCACTCATGATCCTCATCAGCGTATTTGAAAATGAAGCTGTTGGCCCCCTGTAAGCCATCAGGACATTTTTCCACACAATTTGGACCATCCTTAAAATGGAAACACTTCGTGCAGTGGTCAGGTCCCTGGAGAGCATGGAAGAAAGAAATGCAGTTCATTCAAGTTACTCTGTCTTTCCTGCTGCACTAGAATTGCAGGTCCTGGCATGACAGCACACTCAGCAATAACTGTAGTAGCATTTCTTTCCCAATAAACAGGGTAGCTGCATGGTTCCAGTCTCTGTTAGAGCAGCGCACATGTAAATCCTGGTGCTTTTGGCCATAAACTTATTCTGTACAGCGTAAGACTAACTTCCAGCTTCTAAACAGGTTTATCAATATTATTGGTGTGCTTAACACAAAGTACTTCATGCCCACCTGAGAAATTTCCTGCAACACTGTTCAAAACTGTTCAAAAACAATATTTGAAAAGCAACTGCAATGGCCTTTCAGTGGGATCCCCTACTCTGCACTCCAGAATTACTTTCCACACTGTGTTCTCCCTACAGTATCTGGTCACAACAATACTGAAGAACTACAAGGTCTACTTCTTCTTAATACATACGTAGACTAGACTAGACTGTTAAGAACTATAAACCAAGGCTCCTGGACAATGTAAAAGTAAAATTTTAAAGCTGCAATGATAAGCCAGTGTATAACCAAATCTGGTGTTCAGGTTGGGCACTGGTCTAGGATTTTATGTCCATGAGCCCTGCTACAAATCCAAACTTCCCTCGTGGGTTGAACACTTGAAACATTAGCTTCTTGCTTTATGGTTGTGTTGCACAAAACACAGTATTGCCACAAAAATGATGATGAGAATGATTGTCAGTGTAAGGTCTTTTCTTTTTTTTCATTCAGTAGGTAAGTCATAGAAATAAGGAAATAAGTTACGCGTTAGATTTTCTCAATGATGAAGAGCCTAAAATACAACTCCTCATTGCCCAGGATACTTGTGACTTTTAATCTTGGCACTATACAAAAGACCAAAAGAAAGAGACAACTTCTATCTCGCAAAAGAGCAATAACCTTTGAAAGAAGACTCACTGGCCATTATAAAAGTGACAGCCACAGTTAACATTCATTTAGGATGCATGAAAAAAATTCTCTATCAAAACAACCTAAAAGGCTAACTTAAGTAAATAAACCCAAACAACATATTGTTCAAGCTCGCTGAGAGATCAAGACAAATTCCTACACTTTTTTGGTGGGGAAAAAAAAAAAGTAACTGAAGTTGTAGTAGAACAGGTTAGAACTGAGTATAAAGAATGAAAACAGTGATAAAAGAGGGCACTCAAATCGCAACTGAATGCTATCTGTCATTTAAAAACTTCGTGGATCTGTACCATTAAGGCATTAAGACAACTCAGGAAAGAAAAGGACACTACTTTTTAAACCATTTTCTTAAGGAGACTGATCCAAGGAAGTTTATTCCCAGCATCAATTTAACATGAGCAGAATTCTTTCCCTACATGAAGAACATGCATTTTTTATGCTTTTGTTAACATTAATTTTCTATAGCCACTCTAAATTCTTTAAGCAGAATAACATGAGCAATTCTTTCCCTACATGAAGAATATGCATTTTTTCTGCTTTTGTTAACATTAATTTTCTATAGCCACTCTAAATTCTTTAAGCAGAAAATGCCTGTGCTTTAGGACACTTTAAACAAGCTAGCCCATAATACACCAAATTTTGTTCTTACCGGCCCATAGCACGTGATCATGTTTTCTTCCATCTTTTCACACTGGGGATCACACTCCACACAGACAGAACCATTTGCAAATTCTCGAAATTCCCTAGGAAAATATTTTTGCAGGCAGGTTAGGAGAAAGCAAAAGTGAGACTGAAACTGAGACAGAATAGCTGTCTCTTCACCTGGTGGAAACCATTTCAGCTTCACTAAGGTCAGCAGACTGTGCCAGCTGAGATTGCTTCTGTTAACAACATTATGCTGCTTTACACCAGCTGAAAACCGGGCCCCATCAGCAACCTCATTCATAGGCAGGTGAAGCAGTAGACATCTTGTTTACCAGTATAAAACTAGAGTGTTTTTTCTCCTCTTTCCTTAAGAAATAAGGACCTCATTAACAGGACAAAGCAGCTCATTTCTCAATTTTTATCTATGGAATTGTCCCTCATGGCTCAGATTCAGGAAGCCACTTGTTACATGTGAGACATCACTATCAGATAGGAAAGGATTAGAAAAAGCATTGATCACAGTGCTGTTTTTGTTGTTTTAGTTAAGTCTCTGCGCACACTCCTGTTTTAAAGCCCATTCTACAGAAGGCTCATAACTTTTTTAGCAACAACAATTCTAGACTGAGGTCTGAATCTATAAAATATCAAAACAAATCCTTTTCCTCACTTATTTCATGTATTCACAAGAAACTATCACCCAAGTGAGTTGGGTTTTTTTATTAACCACTTATAAGGGGGGAAAAAGTAGTGATAGTAGGAGAGATTTCTTCCTTCAAACACCTGATGTCTCATTTCAGCTTCCAGTTGCCACTCACAAAAAAACCTCCAGCACCTTCTCAACACAATTCATCCCACCTTCTAAGCTGAGATGAATTAACACCTGAACAGGTCACTTCTCTTCCACTAACCACAGAGAGAATCTATGTAACTAGCTCAGACTGGACACCTAAGCTTTGCAGGTGGATCCCATCTTGTTGCATTAACCAGTTAAAATATTCACATTAAACAGTTAAAGATGTGCTGCACACTCATGTTAGTGGGCTCTAGTAATATTCAGGTAAAGGTGAAGGCCTCTGTGCTTAGTTTATCCACATTCTCCCTCTGCTCCTCTACAGCCATTAGGATCTATTGCAACAATACAGCTGAGGAAAACCTCACTTGACCACGGCAAGTGAGCTCACCCTTCTCTGGCTGTGGAGATAGAGCTTTCCTGTTGAGGACTAAAAGAGAAGTCAAATACATCTGACCCAACCCTGAAGCACCTTTGCTGCCCTTTCAGTTTGAGCTGAAAAAGACAATTAAAATAATTTAGTTTTTTTATCTTAACTTTAAAAGAGGTGGCAGGGACCTTGCTATACTGTCATACAGGAAGTGAAATTCCACCTGCTTCCCTCCACAGCCTAATTATGAATTTCTTCTGCTGCAGCTAATATAAGCAGTTCAGCTCTGTATTTCTGTCATAAGCCAGACTCAGCCACCTCCAGAAAAGGTGATGCACATGCATGAGTGGGAGAAGGAAAGGGGGGGAAGAACTCATGTTGGTTTTATTATTTATATTTGTGTGTACACATACATAGTGTGTTATGAAAACAAAAAGAGAGTGAGTTTTCCTACTTTGAGGTCCTTATCCTTTATCACATGCCTAAATTTAACTAAGCTGAAAGAACATAACTGTATGTGTTTCTGAATAGGGGTGTCAATATTCAAGTAGGGCTAAATGGTGAGTTTTTTAGTCTTCACCTAAATCAAATTGTTCACATCATCAGGAATGCAAAAGGTGCAGCAAACTTTTGATGTTGCATGAAAATTTTAGTCAGTAGAAAACTAGGTAAAGCCTTCTACACAAGTTCAGATTTGGAAATACTTAAAACTTACCCCACAATATATTTCACTCAAAATCAGTAATATTGGCAATGGAACCAGATATTGATTAATGTAAAACCAAAATAACTTACTCATTAAAGTCCTGAACGATGTAGTCAGCAACTTTAGGGAAAAGTGCAAGGGAAATATCTTACCCATCATACAGGTTACAGGAGTCTATGCAGGTCCTTCCCCTGATGAAGCGCTTGCAGGAGAGACACTGGTCTGGCCCTGGCCCCCAACAGCCATCACTTGAGCATAACTCATTACACACCATTCCATCGGCAGCTGCAGGGAGAGAGGATACCGTCATCAATTCACATAGTCCTCTGAAATCCAAAGGAAAACATTTCATTCAGCATTCTGCCGTAGTCAGAAAAGTAAACTGAACCTTCAGATTTTCTAGAAACAGAATAGAGAAAAACCAGAAAATTATCATCATACCACTACAGAAACACACTGTGTACTCACAGTTTGAATACTATACACACTTCTGGTCTGTTCCTTTCAGAAAGGAGACAGTAGAATGAGAAAAAGATTTAAGAGCACTGCAAGGATGATCAAAACTAGAGAAGAGCTTCTATACCAGGAATAAATAGAGGAGTAGCCTTAGATATGGTTGAGAAAGGACACAATAAAGGTCTATAAAATCATGACAAGAAGATGATAAGTAAGCATGAAACAATTGTTCATTCCTTTGTCCAAGTCCCTCATGGGCATTCAAAGAGACAGGAACCCAATAGGGTTCAAAACTGAGATTTTTCTTCTTAGAAAGTATAGCTCAAGCTGCAGAATTCCCTGACACAGGACATGGTAAATGCCAAAAGTTTAAAGGATTTGAAAAATCAATTGTCCAAATCCACAGAAGGGCTATTAAACTAAAATATAAAACACTACCTCTGAATTGAGGACTCCCTAAAATAAAACTTATGGATGGTGGGGGAAAAGTTGAAGAAAAGTCATTATTAACTGCATTTTTTTAAATTGTTTTTGCAAAAGCACCTGAAGAACCAAAGAGACTTTATATTAAAACCCCAAAAATACATAAAACAAACAACGGTCCCTGTCTCAAAACCAAAATTCAGCTTAAATAAACAAAATGAACAAAGGGTGAGGGGGAAAGGTTGTTTCAAACAATATAATTAATTCTGTGTTTTTATTTTATATAAATCCTTCTCTACATAAATATCTAGATGACTGTGACAGATGGAGAAAATAAGCAAAGAGCAAAAGGAAACACGTTATCTCTCCAGCATCTGAAAAAAGTCCAGTTGCACAGATTCAGCCAGACCCTGGCATGTGAAAGGGTAGATCTCTTAATTTGAATTCACTCTTGCATGATGAAATGTTTTATGCAAATGGTTACATACTAGACTGTGTAGATTAAAAATAGCAAAGATCTGAAATATCAGAGATGGCAAATATATAAACACTTTTTTTTTTTTTTAAACCACCGGAAACAACTTGAGGGAAGTGTCAAATAATAAATTAAAAGTAGGTTTGTTGGTAGAATTCTACCACTCCCTCCAATGCTGTAGCAAAGATGCCCAGTCAGGAACACATACACACACTGAATACTGTTTTACACAACAGCAACTGCATACGCCCAGCACACATTTAAAGAGGGGCAATAGCAAAATCAACAGAAAATCTTTTTGCAAAAATGCAAAAAGCCTTCTGGCAGCTTTATATTAAATAAAAAGACAGTAGTTCTTTGCGCACTATTTTTCTACACTTCTTTCAGTACAGCAGCATAGCTGGGTGACTGGAAAAAAAAGCCCTATTTTCATTTCAGGATGCCTGATGGTCTTGTCTCCACTGTCAAGACTGGAATACTGCAGTTAGGTACTGTCTATTACAATCTACCATAACAATTAAAGAGTATACTGAGTTTTATTACCTGAGAAGCACAAAGCCCTTCTAAATCATGAAAGAGTCAACAGAAAGATGCTTTCTGCTCTCCACAGCATGTTTTAACACTGGTTATTCTGCGCTATGGTGGATATAATGTCCCACATTTGAACCACTGAGTATCTGTCATAGCAGCCTACTGTACGGGAGAGCACACTGCTTCACACAGCGACTCTCTCTTTAACTGCTCTTTAATCATCGCTTTTCATCATGCATCATTGTTTGATTTTGGCACCATGTTTGTCAAATACATCTTTCTGATCTATACAGCATGCCTAGCCTATGTCCTCTTCTGTTTCCTACAAGGCAATTCCTGTACCTCCTTTTGCCTGCTGACATGCAGGAAGTTCCTGTCACACTGGCAGGGTGCTTTCCTTTGACATACACTACCTGTCCCATCCCTCCTCCCACTGTCACCCTGCTTTCTGACCACTGAATTTATCAGAAAGCACTTCTTTCAGAAAAAAAATATGCAATAATTGTATGCATGGTTTCTCTCTCCTAGCCCATGTAGCAAGTAGGCAGGAGAAGTGAAGCTTCTTCCATATTTCCTTTCTTCCTGCAATGGGACATTTTGCTTTACTGAGATTGAGAATGGCAGATTTTCATCTACTTGTTTCTTTTTCTGCCTAGAACATTTTCATAATTCAGTGTCAAAAAAGGACATTTCACCTTTACAAGAAGCATAGGAACCAATCAAAGATTTCATGTCCTCCAGCCCTTGCAGGCAAACTGATCCAAGAACAAGAGATTCGCCAGCACGCTTCCTACTTGTACAGTGCTGTTGCTGACCCTGCATGGCTCTGCTGTACAATATATGTAATTCAGCAGGTAGATGAGCACTGTCTTATTCAATACAATACAATAACCTCAGACATGAAAAGTCTGCACACTTATGTCTTCTCAAGGCTGGAATGCTTGCTTGAATACATTTTTTTTTTTTTTTAAATATCATATATACTTTCTTAATGACAACATCCAGAAGGTGTTCAGAAGTATCTTTTTGGTTCTTCTTTTGCCTCAAAGCTCAAATCAGGTACAGCCAAACATAAAATAATTAAGTTTAGGAGTAATTCCAGGTGTTAATTTAATTTCCTTTAAAGCATATTAATTCTCAGAGATTCCAGCACAGCAAGAGAGACCTGAGCTATTTAGCATGCCATTACCTAGAGATGTCTCGTTCTCTTTCCCTGAGCTCTGCTGTAAATCAGGAGTCATTCTGCTGCAGTCAAAGGAACCACACCACACAAAGCCAGTATGAGCAGAGACAAAAAATCCAGCTTTTCATTACTGTCCTAACCCTAACTTTTTTTAAGCATGGCAATGCTTTTATAACAACTACCAAATGTCAGTAGTTCCACTATGCTGCCACTGACTAAACTTCATAGAAATCAAAGGAACTAGGTGAAAGCTTTGCATTAGCAAATACTACATGTGTAGCCCACACAGCTTCCTTTTTCACCTACTTTTAGACATTTTATGTATATCTCAGTCTAACACTGGCTTTGTGCAGTACAGTTCTGGAGGCGCATTGACTTGGTATTAAAGGCCAGTTTGGGCCTATTTCATGTTCATTGCCTACAGGAGCACCCAGGAAAAAAGTTCCGAGTGATACAGCTGGTCATTTCAGGGGAACCCCAATTATGCCTTAGGATTTAGACCACACTTGAGGGCTCCCTCAGAGCAGACTCCAGCACTTCATGCCTCGTCTGCCAATCTCCCTTGATCTCATCCAGTCTCACGGTGACGTGTGACTGACACTGACCAGACAAATATACGAGTCCTGCCTCACATTGCCTGCCACAGGGACACCTGGGATTAACAGACAGCTTCAGGCTCAAACTGTATCAGCAAATAAAAAAAAGAAGGAAGAAAACCTAAATCCAGAAATTATCACAGTTCTAATTAAGCAAACTTTTTATATAAATAGTTTTATTTTCTAGTTAATTACTCACTTTAAGTACTTGTCACGCAATAAAAAAACCCACCTTGCTTTGGACATCCCTTTGTTCTCATTTTCAATCTTAAGAATATTAGTAATTCTTCTGATTTTGTTTTACACACTCATCATTGAAAGGCAGTTTCCTATTTGCTTTCTCACCTTTTTTTGTAACTTGAAATTGTGCTTTTATTACCAGTGATTTCCTTTCTTTTCGCTGTTCTCAGCTGTCAGACTACTCTGGGATCAGAATTTATTTACACACGCATGCACACAGTGTTGCACTAAAATATCCCTTCAAATAGCAAGTGACACTATTACAAGATAGCTCAGAAAATATACTGAATAACCTTCTGCAAATAAAATGAGAGCTTTTCAGTAAAGAAAATCATGATTACCCTATTGAAATCTAGCCAACACAGTGCCTGTAGTCTATGAAAAAAGCAATAGGAAAAAAAATAATCACTATTTTCTTCTGCTTATTTCTAAGTCACAGAAATGTTTTCATAAATGAATACTGACAAGAAGGGAGTGGGTTTTTTGACAACTTATAAAAACCCATTATCCTTGTCTGTCTTCCTCTTATTTAATTATAGGGATGGCTAAAGAAATGTTTCAATTTTAGACACATTCTTTAGCATTTCCATGAGCTGAGAATGTTCTGAAGCTCCAGCATATCACACAGCCATATATGGAAGGAAAGAACAATAATGCTTTTGACAGGAACTCATTTTCAACGGGCGTTTTAGAACAAGTGTTCATTCTTTATCAATGGGGTCACACAGGTTAGAAGCAGAAAGGTTCAATGTTTTTCCCCAATCTAGACAGATCACAAGAAAATTAGCTATCTAAAAAAAGAAGAATTATTGTTATTTGGCTATAGACTTATGGGCCTGATCCAAAGCTCCGTGAACTCAATAGAAAAGCTTCCACAGACTTCAATTAGCTTTGCATCACACCTGATAATGAATGTAATCATTTATTCAAGTTGTTAACTGGTGGCTAAATTGGCATAATTCATAACAATCACATTTATAACAACCTTCGCCTATAAAGGTTTCACTGTACACTGCGGGTGTCACTAAAGCTGAAAACAATTATTTAAATAACTTTGTATAAAAGAACATTTTTTCTACATTTATTTTGTGTACACTCATATTTAACATGAGTCACCTCTGACTGTTCTGTAAAAATCCCATGCTGGGAAAAAAAGGCAGATTTTTCACTTCAGCACGGAGCAACGGTAAAATCTAACTACCAGAGCACATTCTCTAGTAAATAACTTTATAGTCATTCATTCTGCATCAATAATGTTCATAACGAAGTAAGTTTTATGCACAAACTGTGTTTAACATCACAGTTTATAGTACTAGACAATTAAAAGCCTACATTAGATGAGAGCTTCATGCACTGCATTTTAGATAAATGCTCTCCAATT